TACGTTATGATTATTTGAATTTAAGTATTTTCCATTTTACATATACACTTCCATAAATTAAAAGGAATGAAGTTATTATAGTTAATATATGCAAATCGTTATCAAATCGTATATTTTCCTTTTCTTCCATTACATGCGTGCGATATATATAAATATATAAACTATGTTACATGCGTTATATGCGTCTCTAATTATTTTTTCCTAGCAAATTTCAATTGAACCTAAAACCGCCACGTCAGTTTAATTGATATGCTAATTGATTAACAACTAAGCAAGGTTTCTTTTTAATTAATACAAACTTGAGGTTACATCTTTTCAAATGTTTCTCAATTAATATATAGGGGATTTTTATTTTTATTCGATTATTGTAAAATTGATTAGGTAGATTTTAAGGATTTTTAAAGTTGATAGATTTTAAACCTAATGTATGTTGATTCTCTAAATAAATATACTTTGGTTATAGATATTTTCATATTTTTTGGTAGATTACTACAAATTGTCAAGGTTTTGTACTATTTATTTCAATCATTGATTCTGTAATTGGATATGAATTCTGTTTTATGAAAGTTTCCAAAACTTAATGTCTTCCTATATAGCATCCCTATTTTTTTTAATCTGGTGAGGATTACCCTTGTGCAGAGTGAGATATGTATTTTTTTTTATTTAAAGCTAAATTATTAGATAAAGTATTCAACAAATATTAAAATTATCTACTTTCATTATATATATTGAATATTATTATATTAAATTTAATTTTTAGTGATAATTAAAGAATCAAACCCTTTGTTCATATTTCATGTCTTTAATAACAACTAGGTTAAGATCCGCGCCTTGCGCGGAATGAGAATTATGTATACAAATTATTTTATGTATTGTTATTTATATTATATTCTCTTACAAATTATAAATTAATAAAGATATATATATATATATATATATATATATATATATATATATATTGAATAACTAAAATTATTAAATATTATGTATATAATTAAATTAGAGTGCTCACATAAATAAAAAAGTCACACTTGTTTATTTACAATCACTTTACATAAGTAAAATCTAGAAAATAAATGATATTAACCTAGATATATATAGTTCATTTTTAATTTGTATCAATAAAGCTTCATATTTATATAGTTTTATGATCATTTATATTTTTTACAATAAGATTTTTAAACCATGGATAATAAAATTTTTAAACCATTGAAAACATAATTTTTAATATAAGATATTCAATATGTATAGTAGTTCATAATAAAAAAATAATGCAAAGTTTGAAACTAAAGTATTAAGATCTCAATACTTTTTTAATGAAAATTTTGAAATTAAAACTTTTTATATTTTTAGATGGTATATAGTTTCATTTAAACCTCATTAGAAAATTATATATATATATATATATATATATATTATTCTGAAGATCTATTAAATGATACTTCCTACTAATTGATTATATAATCGTCTGAATATTGTTATAACAAACAAAATTATTAATCACAAAAAACTTATGTTTAATTTTAAAGGTTTTATTAATGGGGGATTTGCCAAAACCAACCTAAAATTTCATTTCAACCCTAAAGGTGTACCCCTTATTGAGTCAAATGCAAAACCAACCTAAAGGGGTTATGAAGTTACTACTTAACCCTTGTGACCAAACAAAAAAACAGACAGTTATTTTACGGTTCTGTCCTTTGTAAGTCTACACATAATAGAGAGAAGTCTACACATTTGTAGACCTTCTTAGAAGTCTACTTTGTAGACGTATTCTACAGTCTACATC